GCTTCTGGATATCTTGAGTCCTAATGTTTTTCCGTTGGCAGCATATGGTATTTGTTGGTTGTTGACAATAATAGGTTATGGGTTTGTTTTTGCGATGTGAATTATTTTGAGACGGAAAGCAAAACACAGATGACGTTACAAGAAAGTTTGGAGACAAAATGCGTGTGGAAAAAGTGTCTTTGGCTTTAAGATCTCCCACAGAGGAATCCTCCGGTGGGGTTCTGCCAATAAACAGAGAGACATTGAAACAACTGAAAGAAAAAAATCCTCCTGCAAGTGAAGACGAAGGCATCAGGTTCCAGGGTGACTATATCCCACCAAATGCTGTTCTGTTCGAGAAAATAACAAGAGGGATGGTGTGGAAAAAGGCACTGAAAACTCTGGGAGGTACCGGCCCTTCAGGTCTGGATGCAAACGGTTGGAGAGTCATCCTCAGCACTAACAAGTTTAGCCCCGTAGCAAGTGATCTCTGCACTGCCATTGCCGTCCTTGCAAGAAAGCTGGGAACCTCGTGCTGCCAACACCTCCATGCTTTGACAGCCTGCCGCCTCATTCCCCTGGATAAGAATCCAGGATGTAGGCCTATAGGGGTGGGGGAAGTGCTGAGGCAGATCATCGGAAAATGCATAATGTAGGTGGTAAAGGATGAGGTCAGGGCAGCAGCAGGGAACCTGCAAGTTTGTGCTGGCCACCAGGCTGGAGGGGAAGCTGCCATTCACGCCATGAGAACGATATTTGAGCAGCGTGATTGTGAGGCCGTTCTCTTGGTGGACGCTTCAAACGCATTCAACATACTTAACCGCAAGGCCGGACTGCGCAACATCAAGATAAAGTGTCCAAGCTTTGCAATGTATGTTGAAAACTCCTATAGGAATCCATCAGACCTCTATATAGTAAACAACAAGGCTCTAAGAGGTGATACCATCATACAGTCAACCAAGGGAACAACGCAGGGGGACCCTGTTGCAATGGCAATGTACGCAATAGGCCTATCCGTGCTCCAACACACAATAAAATTTGAAACTGAGGTTAAGCAAGTGGCGTACGTCGATGACCTTACAGGAGCAGGAAAAGTGGAGGACATCAAAAAGTGGTGGGACCTGGTAACATCACGAGGTCCACAAATAGGGTACCACCCAAACGCCAGCAAGTCCTTCCACATTGTGAAGTCAGAACATTATGAACGGGCAATGAAGGTGTTCGGTGGAAGCGAGGTCAAAATAACAAAGGATGGCCAAAGACACCTAGGCGCAGTAATTGGCACGACGGACTTCAAGACCGAGTACATAACGGGAAAGGTGAATGAGTGGGTTTGGGAAATCCAAGCTCTGTCTGAGATTGCTAACACAGAGCCACATGCGGCTTTTGCGGCATTCATCCATGGAATCAAGCATCGCTGGAACTACCTGATGCGCACTATCCCTCATATCGGACCCCTCCTCCACCCTCTGGAAGAAGCTATCAGCGTCAATTTCATTCCCAAATTAGTGAAACACCTTCTCTTTACCCCAGCAGAAAGCTCACTCCTTGCACTACCACCGAGACTGGGAGGAATGGGATTGACCTATCCAGAGGAGATTGCTGCCATCGAACGTCAAAACTCAGTTAAGCTCACGGCAGCCCTCACTGACCACATAATAGTTCAGAACGCAACAGGGGAGGTGGATACCAGTGAAGTAAACAAGATTCGAAGGTCCATTACAACAGAACGACAGCACGGCCAAAGTGTTAAGTTGCAGCAACTGTTGCTACAAGTACCAGAGAATTAAAAAAAACGTAGCTATAGCCCAGGAGGTGGGCGGCTCGAACTGGTTAACTACGTTACCGATAAGATCAAATGGTTTCAGTCTCAATAAACGAGAATTTACAGATGCCAATGCTCTAAGGTGTGGTAGGCCAGTAGAAGGTTTGCCCTCCCAATGCGTTTGTGGCTCTTCCTATGACGTCGATCACGCCATGGTGTGCAAGAAAGGGGGCTTCGTATGTATGAGGCATGACACAGTAAGGGATCTCACAGCAAATATGTTGAAGGAAATCTGCCGTGATGTCAGGGTAGAACCGACCCTCCTTCCATTGGACGGTGAGAATTTCCAACATAGCACTTCAAACACATCCAACGATGCCTGTGTTGACGTCAGTGCTCGAGGATTCTGGACGCGGGAACAGCGAGCCTTCTTCGACATCAGGATTTTTTATTCCATAGCCGCATGTCACCGTAACTGAGCTCTCGATGCTGCACACATGAGGAACGAGAACGACAAGATAAGGGCAGCCTCTGGCGGGATGCAAGATGCTTCTACGCCAGACTCGCGGAGGTGCTATCCGAACAGAAGTAGCAGCCCAGAAGATATGTTACAGCCTGGATGAGGTGTCGACTGTCCTTCTCCCTCCTTAGGTCGGCTTTGCTCTGCCTCAGGAGAACGAGAGCATCGGCTCCAAAGCCTACAACAGTTGCAGATATTGACTATGAGGCAACAGTCACTGAATGCCGCATAGATCTATGGCTCAACTAACTCAACACAGCTAGGATAGCTACTGATGTATTAAGATATTTAATTTTAAGATAATAAAATGGCGGCGAAGGTGTGGCTATTAGGGGAGGATGGAGGCCACAACAGTAGTAGTAGAAGTAGTAGAAGTAGTAGTCACAATATTATTACTATTATCATTATTTTTATTATTATTTTTATTATTATTGTTATTATTAGTAGTAGTAGTAGTAGTACTGGTGGTGGTGGGTGTGTGTGGGTGAGTTCCGTGTTTTTCATAAAAAATCAAGTTCATAGATGTGACAACCAGCCCGAATCCAAGGAATTATTACTTGTGAGTGCATAAAGAGTGAGGTGATCACTGTATCATCCACCTGTGAACCTCCTGAGTATATGTCGGCGATAATTATTGGAGCACTGTGACTGTCTGGTAGTGGGTGTCGCTTATGTCATCAGTGCCATGACTTGTAATTTGAACTGGTCAAGTGTGCTAGCTGCCCGTCTCACCCGCTGGCAACCCTCATTACCCCCCACTGCCCTAGTACCTCACAGCCAGAACTTACTACCATGCTATTGGGCACTCAGAAATTTTTGAAACTAAATTTAAAAACGTTCAAACAGAAAAAAAATATATGTTTCCACAAAGCTGATATGTTTATCACCTTTGCATCTATTGACCTACAGTCCTATAATCTACTACAACACTAGACTAACACCGTGACTAATCGTGCTCTAACCTGGATTGAGTCACGGGGTGTGCTGGCACCGACACAGGCAATTTGTATCTCAAAGAGACATGGTGATTGGCTGTGTCTTCTGAGGTTAAACAAGCAGTAATATATCTCATACTAGGTGACACCACACAGAAATAATGCTGATCTACTGTCTTCAGTTGTGAGATCCCAAGCGAGTGGTGCATTTCTCGTACACATCACCTACTTAATCAGTTAGATTGCTTGTTGTTTCAATGATAGTCACTGATCAACATGGACAAGAAGAGAAAGTGCCGGCAATATTCACAGGAGAACTTATAATTTGAAATTATCCCATTTACTACGAATGAACAGTTACTTATGTGCCTAATCTGTGAACAAACATTGTCCAATGAAGCTATGAAGCCTTCAAGATTGAGAAAACATTGAAAAAAAGCACGCATATAAGGTGGGCAAAGACATATCATACTTTCGAGATTTGAAAGTAAAATATGAAAAGCGAGTTACTGTTAGTGGACTATTTAAAAGACATTCTAGCCAAATAGGTAAAGGACTTCTTGTTTCCTATGAGATTTCTTCATTAATTGCTAAATGTGGAAAGCCGCATACAAAAGGCGAGGCCTTGATTCTACCAGCTGTGAAAGAAGTTGTCAACACTATGTTGGGTTCTGGTGTAAAAGAAGAAACCTCATCAATTCCACTGAGTAACAATTCAGTCTCAAGACGAATTGATGAGGTGGCAAGTGATATTGAAAGTAAGCTGTGCAACGAATTGCAGACCACTGAATTTGCGTTACACATGGATGAGTCAACTATGTGATAATGAATCATGCTACTAGCTTATCTACGTCATGTAAACATCAGTGAAGTAGTGACAAGAGTTATTATTTGCCAAACCTCTGACAACAGACACCAGAGGCCTGTCAATATTTGAAGTGGTTGAACGTTTTTTGTTGAAAAAAAAAGTCCTCTGAAAAATGTTTATTATTATTATTATTATTATTATTATTATTATTATTATTATTATTATTATTATTATTATTACAGGTTGACAATCCCTTATCCGAAATCCTTGGGACCAGATGCATTTCGGTTTTTGGAATTTTTCGGTTTTCAGAATGGTTATTTTTTTTTTTTTTAGCAGCAGCAGGGATCACCCCACCCGGGCACAGGTCACTGACCCACATTGGGGTCTGGGGGCTAAAATATTATAATAATAATAATAATAATAATAATAATTCATAGGTCTAGGTCGTGTTTCTCACTTTCGATCTTTTTTTCATTCTTGTATTTCTTTATTATTATTATTATTATTATCATTATTACAGATTATTATTATTATATTATTATTATTATTATTATTATTGTTATCATTCTTATTTTATTTTTGTGTATTTTTTATTAAAAATTTTATTTACTATGAATAATTATTATTATTACTGTATTATCATTATTATTATTATAATTATTATTACTATTACATTTTCAGGCCCCGATGTGGGTCAGTGACCCCCGGGTGGGCTAAAAAAAAAAAAAAAATTGCTCCACAAAAAAACTTTCGGTTTTCAGAGCTTTTCGGTTTTTGGAATTTCGGATAAAGGGTATTATTATTATTATCATTATTATTATTATTATTATTATTATTATTATTATTATTATTATTATTATTATTATTATTATTATTATTATTATTATTATTATTATTATTATTACGCTTTCGGCCCCCAGGCCCTGATGTGGGTCAGTGACCTGTGCCCGGGTGGGCTAATCCTAATAAAAAAAAAATGGTGCACCAGCTATGATTGGTCGTCAACGTGGTTTCATCGCACATTTAAAGAATGAAGCGCCGGACATCTTTGCTATTCATTGTGTTGTTCATCGGCAGCATTTGGTTGCCAAACATCTCAGTGATAGACTACATAAATCTTTACAAGTTGTCACCAATGCTGTGAATAAAATCAAGGCTCACTCAATGAATGACTGCTTGTTCGGCAGCTTTGCCATACCAGTGAAGAAGAGTTTGAACGTCTACTCCTGCATAAGGACGTTAGGTGACCAAAAATTATGTAGTGAGGTAGAAACAAGGAGAACTGATGTGGCATATCTCTCAGACATTTTTGACAATTTAAGTGAGATCAACATTAAATTACAAGGAAAGAAAATGAATATCATAAAAGCAAAAGGAATTATCATGGGTTTCATCAGTATGTTAACTTTGTTTAAGAATAACCTTGGGCGCCATGAACTCTACCAGGCAATGATGGAGGTTGAAGACAAACTGTGTGATAATGATGTGGAAACCTATTGCTCTCATCTTGAAGCTCTTAAGGAAGATATGCTGACAAAATTTTTAGTCCTCAGTCAACTCAGTGAACTGACTGGGTTATTAAGCCGTTTTTGACAAATGTGCAAGATATTCAGCAAAGCTTGCATGAATAGTTAATAGACCTACAGCATGACTATGTCGCGCAAGTACGATTCAAACAATGTTGTTACGACCAATTCTGGTTCAAAGAGCAAATTTCGTACCCTCATCTCTGGCAGGGGGTAAAACTGTTAGTCTTAGCATTTCCTACATCATATTTAGTTGAGAAAGGTTTTAGTGCTGTGGTACAGTTACAAACAAAGCAAAAAAATATACTTCAAATTAGTGAGAGGGGTGACTTAAGGCTCTCTCTGTCAAACACTGAACCAGATATTAGTAAATTAGTACAGTCTCATCAAGCTCAAGGTAGTCACTGAAGCACAGGTGTTTTCTGTTAAACTAAAATATTTTCTTCTAGTATGTGCCTTAGGAATGTTGCACAGCTATAAACATATTGTTCATGCAAGGTGTTTTCTGTTCAAATACAATATCTTTAATTTTTCATGTTTTAAAAACATTGCATGATCGACCGTCATTGCTTGCTTTAAATCAGGTAGGCATGTAGGCAGTAGGAGAATTATAAGGGGATTTAACTGAATGCATTTTTGACGTATTGTAGAATCTATAATACGAAGAGGGCATTTGCAACCACTGTTCCAGGAAAGAGGGGCGCTAAAATGAGAAAGGTTGGGAACCACTGATATTATTCTAGGCTTATAATATGCAAATAAATTATACAAAAAGTGATGCAATACATTGTCGAAAATTCTTACATAGGTAATTGTCACGTGCCTGAGCGCTCGGAAACTCGCATGGCGTGAGGCATATGTTCACGCCTCCATTCCACACAAGTTAATAACTTGTTAATTGTACTTATTATATTATTATTGTTCTTAGTTACTTAGGTTAATTGTATATTTATGTATGTTATTAATATGCATCATTGTGTTACTCTGTTAAGTCAAATCAAGAGTAGTATTAATTAATTATATAAATTATCTAGCAAATGTCCTGGATCACGTGATATGAGATGCGCTCCTCCACGGCGTGCCCCACGCTTCCCCAGTAGCGAAAAACCGTGGCATAGGTTAGACGTGTCCATTCGTTCTCTAGCCTTGACCCTTGTCTAGTGCTTTGTCCAGTCTTCTGCAATGCCCTAGTGGTATCAGGTATTAGTGACACGTTCAGTTAGGCCTAGGAAGGGATCCTGGTGGTAAGAAATCTCCAGTTTGGGAGGAAATAACTTTTGTAGGGATTGTATATATATATATTGTATGTCTGTGTAATATAGTTATGTTAAGTAATATTCGTTTGGTCTAACTCCTTACGGTATATTTTCACCCTTCCGGCATCACTCGTATTTTAGTATACGATCACTTATTCCCTTAAATTCTTGTTTGCTAGTCAGTACTCCCTTTAGAACATAAATTGAATTAATTAATTATCTTCCCTTTTGTGACTCACTGTTCTTACTTATTCAAGTACATTTAGTTGAGTAGGTTTTTGTGGGGATAATTATTGCCGTGTTCCCTATTTGTTCCTTTATTTGATAATAACTTGGGGGTAGGTTTCACTCCCCAGGTATAAAGGATATTGGGATCGCGACAGTAATACATCAATATACAGTATACACGAAAATCTCCCCAAACTTGTCAAAATAACTGCTGATTGGAATAGAAAATAATCAAAACACCTGGTTCACAAAATTATAATGCAAAATTATGCCTCGGTATAACATAACACTGGATGAAATTATGTTATGGTAAAATGAGGGAGAAGAAATACTCCTTGAATGTTCAAGACTGTTACCACATTTTGAGGAAGCATGAACTGTACACATTGGTATATATTGTCCAACAGTTTAAAATAGCTATCAGACAGCAGAACCACAAACTATATACTGTATAGTATTAAGGCAGATATACAGTTGTAAAATCCCAAATCACGTTAAACTGATTTTGCCGTCCTCATATTTAAATAAAGTCTTATAAAGAATGCAATGAAGAAATATTTACTACCCTGCAAGATGATGGTGATGGTAGTGTTCCTAACTCATCTGTAGTCAGGTGAAGATGATGGTGATGGTAGTGTTCCAAACTCATCTGTAGTCAGGTGAAGATGATGGTGATGATAGTGTTTCTAACTCATCTGTAGTCAGGTGAAGATGATGGTGATGATAGTGTTCCTAAATCATCACTTGAGAATATGCCGACAGCTGGAGTCATAAGCCTCTTCTTCGCCGGATACACTCCCCGTGTCTCAAGTGCGTCTTGACGTCACAGTTAAATTCGATCAATTGGTTCCTTTGTGAGCTTCATCTCAACAGGGTGTTGTGTTACCCAGAAGAAGTGTTAAGTAATATGAGCGATACCATCTATCAGCGTTATCATACACCGGTGATTTTATCAAATTTACGTAGAACTAGAACTGATCATCTTCGCCTTGTTGCTCACCAACTGTTTTTCTGTATTGTTTTTTTCTTGTGGACGTTATTCTCTTGTTCTTTCAAATAATATCCTCTTTGCCACTTGTGAGCTCACTAGCCGGTCATGCGGCAATTACTATATATATTTTTAAGTAGTACTTGCTAACAGTGGAGGTAACACGTAGTTGTAGGCCTGCCTCGCTGTTGGTATTGTGGAAGAAATATGTGGTTGTAGGCCTGCCTCACAAGTGGTGTGGTATAAAGCGTCCCAAGTTTGTTCTCAGAGTGCCTCCCCTTTGATGTGCCGTAAACATTATAAACATTAACCGTGATAATAGGCGGAACTTCCACCGATCACTTCAGTAACTGTTATGATTTTCTATTATTTTTCCAATTAACATTGACACTTTTGCATCAGTGATGAAATGATTAGCAATCTTTACACTGGTTTCTTGGTGGGGAGGAGTAGAGGGGAGTGGTGGGAAGAGGTCACATGTTAAACTCACACTGCACCTGGAAGTGCCTAGGAGACTTCTGGTCACAACCTTGGTAGAACGTCAATATGTAAATGATAATGATAATAATTAACGGTTTCTTGAAATACCATGGCAGACAGAAGGCTGAAAATATACAGTTACATAATTGGGGAATAGGTCACTTGATTGATAAAATAATATAACATAATATAACATAAGTGATCAAATATGATATATAATAACAAAGTGGGAGAAGGTTATATTACAGGTTTTTTCAGCGTAGTAACTGTGCAAAGAGGTAAGATTGGCTGTGTAATGAGTGTTTATCAGACCATAGCTTACAGCCCAGAAAGAACAGCACATATCACAGTAAGTAGATGAGCAGGTATACACCCACGCAATTTGACACACCTTACAGTGACAGTAAGACCTGACCCAGGAGAGGGCACGGCCACTAGGTATCTCAGTTAACCCTACGTTATGACCGTGTTGCAGAAACCACACCTAGCCAAGACACACCCGGGTGGTAATAATTAGGAAGCATTACCGACCGGCGACATGACCACGCACCTGGGCAATCACAGCTGTCCAGACCTAACCAGTTTAGTGTTAATTAGGAGAGGTCATCTGCCGGCTCTCCTCCAATATAAAGGCCCTGCAGCTCCTTGCACGGGGCATTACTTTCACATCACTATCGACAGAAGACACACTTCCTTTAGCCTTCATAGGGTGTGTAGTCGGCGCTGCCCGCTAACGCGGCCGTGGTCTCTTGACCATGGAGACAGCCACTAGTCTGGTCTGTCGGGCTTTCCCCTTCCCCATCTCCTCCTTCCTATCTGGATTTATCAACATCCTCACACCAACAGTACAGTGCAAAGATTGATGATCAACCCACAACTGATATACAAAACTCACAATTTCAACTCGAAAGAAAGAAACAACTGTAAATGACAATTATGCTTAGAGGTCAGTGTTGACCTGACCCTTGACGTGACACACCCAACCCGCGGTACACTCGCCCCCACCAACACTGGATGAGAACCCAAGAAACACTCCAAACTACACCGAAAGTGAAGTGAGGAATCCCTACTCCATCCAGGTGAAGAATTATGAATTCCTAACTGCATCACATGAGGAACAAGAACCATCTCCAACACCCTGTGTGAGCTGGAGGACCTACCCGGACCACGTGTTGCATCTGCAGCTGTAGTGAGGTAGTGGCTTAACTGCCAGGCTTGGCGCCGGCACACTGGTTGATTACGAGTTGTTGAAAATTTTTACAATGGATGGGAATGGGCTGTTCTTATAGAGATCAGTACATGCTCGAATGGGTTGGATGCAGTTGTGGTCTCAAACAGCAATTCGAGGACGAGGGATCTCGGGTGGAAGTACTGTAGGAGCCCGTGTCTAGGATGGTGCTGAAGCTTCTAGCCAAATTTGTAGATGAGGTCGTGGTGATGATCAGAGAGAGCCGAGAGGGTCAGTGTGTTGAGCGCTTCTTGAGATGTGGAGTAGGAGGGGGAGAGAAAATCTTGCAATCCCTCTTCTGCATTTTTCTTGGTGTTTCCGTTGTGTGACATTTAGGGAGAAAGACCCCATTTATGCATCCTAGGGGGTCATATGGAGATCATGAGGTCGATGTGGTCGGGGTGGCATAGAGCTCAAAGGACCACTGGGGTCCTGCCTAGAAGGAGAATTGGAATGGCTGTCAAGGGCAGTTGGTGTCAATAGCCGTCTTGACAGATACTGTAGGTCAGCATCAGTCCAATTTATTGACAGAAAGGACAATTATGCTAGGGATGGGGTACATTTATCTAGGGATGGGGTGAAAACCCTGGATGGGTCTCTTGAGAGGGCAGTTCAAAAGATGTCGATTTACACTACTAGAGTAATCTGTGAGCATGGGGGTTGAGGAGATTGCAATGGGCACGAATAAACAAAGTGTAAATGTTACAGAGAAATCGTTCTAGGAATGATGCTAAAGCTAAATTAGGCAGAGAGTTGAAACTAAATGCGACAGAGAGAGGACTCAGATCACGACTAACTTAAATGTCTACTATGCAAGCAGTAGAGGTATAAGAAAAAATATGGATGTAATCTGGACATTAGTATGTACCGAAAAAATCGATATAATA